CTCTTACCTCGAAAACGTGGATCTTGTCGTACGGACACTACAAGGATTCGGAGACGACGCAGATCGTCTTTCCTGACTTAGTTACTTGATTCATTGTGTATGCAAGATTGAATGCACGGGATAGTAGTTGGTACAACATGAAAATTTACTCTTCCTTGTCTTCCGCCTCGGCTTCTCCAGCCGCCTTGGCCTTCTTCTTCTTGGATTTCTTGCTCTCCCGTAGACTCTGTGCCAGTAGAGCCTTGAGCTCCTCGTCCTCGAGCTCCTTGTCCGTCTTGACCAGCTCCGGCTTGTACCAAATCGGAGGTTGCGTGATCAGCGACGGGCCACCGGGCAGGAGTGCGATCGTAAAGTGGAATGCAGCAACAAAGGTGTTGGAGGGTGTGTAGCTGGGATTATCGTTAAGTTTTGAGAAAAAAGAAGATAAAAAATACGCACATGACCTCGTATGGCTTGACCAGGCCGTGCTGAACCGCCTCTTGCAGGCCCATGCGCGACCGCTTCTCGTCCTCGAGCGTGCGGATGTTGAAAGGGAACGCAGCAGCCTTCTTCTGCACTTCTGAAAAGACGGCACGGGAGTTTTTCATTTTGAGCTGGTACGAGACGGCAGAATCCCGCTGGAAAATCGACGTCCGCGTATCCTCGATCCGAGCCTGGAAATATTGGGATTATCGGCACCTCAGAGAGATTAGATGCCAACCTTGCCGTCGTCGCCCGACGAGACCAGGATGTCCATGCCGTAAACCTCGCCCTCCACAAAGGTGGCGACCTCAAAGTCGCGCTTCTGCGCCTCGCTCGGGTTCAGGATGATTCGTTTCTTTCCATCGATGACATTTTGCGTCTGCTGGCAAGACAGCATGCCTAGAAGGAATAAATTATCGAGAGACATCGAGATTTCCGGAACGCACCCTCGACAGGCTTGCAGTCCCAAGCAGCAGCAGCCTTGCCAACGACCTCGGTCACGGCCCAGTTCTTGTTCCCGACCTTGATTGTGCGCATCGCAAGCTCGGCAGCGTGCCATGCGGCCTTGAGAACATCTGCCCGCCGTCCGGTGACAGGGTTCTCGGGCGTAGCACCAACGACGATAGTCTCAGCACTAATCGCAGCAAAGCCGTCGATTTGCGCGCCAATGTGAATCTTGACCACGTCGTCTTTGGCGAGGGCCTGCGACGACTGTGGGTCTGAACTGTTTTGTTTTTCGATTCGAATGAGTCATCGGTGCTCGTCGTCTCGGGACCGAGGGAAAACGTACGCTAGAGGCGAAAAATGTGCGACGGTGTTGTTCACCGAGATGGAGGTCGGGAAGGCGATGCCTGTAATCGCCCAGAAGAAAAATCAAGCACAGATCGCGGTACAAGGAGCACAATTGGCGTACCCTTGCTCACTTTGGCGCCCTTGACGTTTTTGTTGTACACACCAGCAGTGCCGGCCTCGAGGAGTTTGTCTCCTTCGATGCAGAGATCAATAATCTTGGCTCCCTCGACGGCGATATCGATTAATTTTTTCATTACATGGTTGACGATCTCCGCTGCAGTCTGCAAAACGCGCAGAAGTCAGCTGTTCAGCGCGCATCGTGAGGTCGTGTGAGGTTGACCTTGTATTTCGTCAAATCGGCCTCGGCCGACGATGGCGCGGCCTTCTTGTCCTCGGCGGGGGCAGCAGCGGGCTTCTCGGTGTCGGACATGGAGGGCTCTGTGCAAGTTTGTGGAGAGCCTGACGACGCGAGCTAACTGCAACTAAGTTCACAGGCACGTGCCCAAAAAACGAGGGAGAAAAAAAGAGTACAGTGTATTCCGCAGATGTACGAGTTATAGGTATGTGCAATGTAGTCCTACATAATGGCTAATATATAGTTTAGATAGCTGTAAATACAGAGAAGGGTTAGGACGTTGCTGGCTTCCAGCCAACAAACGCGCGTAGTGAGCGGCATAAATCAGCAGACGATGGTGGTTGGAACGCCTCGTCGCGCTGCGAGGGGAGGCGATTCCGCCAGACACGCCAGTCTGGTGTCGAGTCTGGTTCGACCCAACCGAATTCAGAGCCAATGCGACCACGCATAGCAATCCGATCGGACATGTCGTTTTCCCAGCTGCTCCAGTCCGCCTCAAACGCCTCCCGAGGTGACGTTCGGTATGCCAGGATGCGGTTGTCTTTGAAACGCGCCGTCTTGGTGACGACAGGCAGATCGCTGGGGAATATTCGTTGATATTCCTGGTAAATTGCCTCCTTGCAAGCCGTGACCGTGCTGACGGTCTTGGCCAGGTGCATTCGTCCCCAGAAGGGGACCGTGCGGTGCGAGGAACCGGTGGATTTCGATTTAATCGAATAAACGTCCACGTCGCTCAACCGTTTCGACGACGGAGTTAAATCAAAGAGGGTATCGGCGTCAAAGGAGTCGTCACTGCTTCGTGACCCGCCGTGGGAGGTTGCCGAGCTGGGGGGAAGGGATATTTGGAGTGAAGGGTGGGTCTGTATGTTGTCAAAGAACGATGACAGATAGAACGGAAGGACGGTGATGACGCTTTTGGCGAGGAATCGACGCGCAAGCATGGCGTCCCATGCAGTTTTGAGGCGGGTATGGTCTTGTGGATGGTGGTCCGGGGTAAGTATTTCTGGATCGCTATCTTGAGGAAAGTAGGCGGTATTTCGAAGGGTGAGCGGGGGCTCAAAGTGCCCGCCTATGTCAAAGGGTATGGAGCTCGAGGGCGACGAGGTCGTTGTCTCTGGCAGAGTCGGAAGACTGGTTTTCTTGGTGACTCGAGGTTCCTCGCCGGTCTCTGGGATGCTCCAAAAATCCGACTGGACCGTATTGGAACTCCTGGCGGAATATGCACTGGGCGGCGCAGAGTCCTTGCGTTCCCGTGTGAAATCCAGACTCAGAGGAGCCAGATAATTCCGTGCCGGGCGTTGAGGCGCACACGGAAATATGAGGTCTTCCTCTATTATCTCCAAGACACCGTCCGGTTGCATGACCCTGGAGACCTCCTGTTTGCAAGGTTGTCAAGCGGAGACCCTTGGCATGGAAATAGCGCCTACCTCCAGGACAAACTGCCACTACGAGGCGGATCAGCGATCGTATTTGTGTCCAGGCGGATAACACATACCTCGTCCTCGGGAACGCCCAAACCAATGCCAGAGATATGCACAAAGTCGAAATGATCGGATGGGAAGGGAAGGCCATCAAGACTGACGGCAGGGTCGGTTAAAATTTTGAGAACGGTTGGCGCTCAAAGTGGCTTACAGGTTGCCATGCACCCATTTGAGGCGGCCGCCGAGTTCAGCGGCGAGCGGGAGAGCTGACGCCTCCAGTCCGGAATCCTCGAGAGATCGCATGTAGTAGGCGTCGAGTTGGAGAAGCTCGGGCTGAATATCCTTGAGATCGAACCCGATGATGCGCGCGTTCTGGAGGCGCGTCAAACTTGAGAGCGTGATGAGAGAATAGGCCACTGACCGGCCATTGTCGCGCCGCCTCCATGGCCCAATACCCTCCACCGCACCCGAGGTCAAGTATCACCCTTGGTGGCGCGTCGAACTGATGCATCGTCAAGCCTCCAAAGCAACTCTGCAGAAACATTTGATCCCAGTTGTCGCTGTCAAAAGAGGTCGGAAAACGACAGGCAAGGAAGCAGACAGTAGATTCACAAGTTTATCATGTCGAGGGAATGGCTGAGGGGATAGACCACTTCACCGGGTCTCCGCCGAGAGGCCTTCTGCTTCAAAAGGACGGCCTGCACATCCTTCTCCAGTGAGTGGACGGCCGATCCCTGCGGCTGGAGAGAGAGACGAGACATTGGGAGAAGATGGGTCGCTTAGGCATAAAATAAGGACCAAGGGTCCAATGCCATGCTCTCGGGAAAGGAATGTCCAAATATCTCACGTGCCGCTGTCGGAAGTGCCAAATGCTCTCAGCCAGTGTCCGTCGTCATCTTGCTCGACGCGTACTGCGTCCTGCCCTCGTCCGTGGATATGCAACACCCGTAAAGGAGCCTAATCCCACGCTCAATGGCTACCCCGAGCTCCCCGACGTCTCCCACCAATACCGCCCTGCCCTTGGCTGGCAAGACCAACTCTTACGGCGCAACTTTGGCGACACTGTGCGTGTCAATCTCCGTCTACGTGGCGTCTATCATGCTCAGCTCCGCGCAGGTCCATCACCACGAGGAAGTCCACTCGATGTGGGGTCCCGACATCCCGGTCATCCCGCCCAACCAGGCCCTCCGACAGTTTCTTATCGCAGTTGGCTGCTTCCTCACCGGCGGTCTTTTCATAAAGACGTTTCTCGTCCCCGAAAGTCCGGTAATACCCCGCGAGTACCCATTCAACGGGCTGGAGGATCAACTTGGCGGAGGCAAGGTAAGCAAACGGACATCTGCTGCTATTCCGATCTTGACTTGTTTCCCAGGCCAACCCTGAAGCCGAGAGTAGCGACGAATGATGCTCCCGTAAAATACACTACACACAAGATAGAATCAAATTCCCTCTGGCCCGACGTGAAACAAACGGCGCTCCGCTTGTATTCATCACCTCGCTTCTGGCCATGTTACGGGATTCTTGGATTGGATGATTACTTGTCCCAATTGCCGTTGACAGACCAGCTACCACTAACCTCGTTGGTCCTCTCCGCGAACGGTACGGATCACATGGATTTCATTATGCACGACGCCTCCACGCGTATCCACCGGTGTGAATCGACGCGACGGAGAGGTGAACTGAGGTGGGAAACACGGACGACAACCGGCATTTTCAGAGACCCTTGGTCATGCAGCACGTCGGGCGTTCGACGGGCACGATGGTGATGCAGTCAATCGTCATGGTGCTATGCCCGAGTTTTCCGCGGGTGTCTCTTCTTCAGCTGGAATGCCGGTATGGTGATAGCCCTCGCTTCAACCATTGTTTGGAGCGGAAGCCAGGTGTTCAGAATTCTAAGAAAAGTGGAACGCCCGTTCTCAAGACCTCAGGGGCAGGGAGAAGGTATATACCCTCGGCTGCATTTCGTCGTAAGCAGCATGGCGCAGATGGAAGCGCGCGGGGCCCATATAGGACAGTCAAGTTCGCTCGTTACCCCGAGGTCACTGGATCGAAACCAGTTGCTGCTATATTCTTTTGCGATTTTAATTGTTCCTGTTCTTCTTTTGACTGATTTTATTCGAACATCTTCAAACCAAAGACTGCTTCGTTAAGATTCCGAGTCTGTATCATCTACATCCTCCTTCGACCGCCCATACGCCGGCTTGGGCTTCGGACGTGGCCGCAACTGAACAGCAAGACCCTCATCCCCATCCAGCTGTCCTTGAAACTCCGCCTCATCCTCATCCTTGCTCTTCCGAGACGCATCCACTTTCGCTCCCCGACCTCGACCTCGACCCCTTCTTCCGCCACGCGATGGCCCTTTGCCCTTGGCAGGCGCCTTCTTGGCAGCCTTCCTCTTGGTAGGCTCGTCGGCATCATGATCGCCTGTATCATCGTCTGCCTCTGACCCTTCCTCCGCCGGCTCCTTCGATCCCCTCTTCTGCTTCTTCCGAAAATCCGAGATGACCTGTTGGAGCCGTTTGCTATCGTACGCCTTCCTCTTTCTTGGAGCGACAGTCCCGCTTCCCGCGCCCACATCGAAATAGGCGTTGAGGTCTCCTTGTTTGTTTACTGCACCAGCCTACGTGAATAATATGAGTTGAAATACTTGGCGTAAAGATGTTTAAATACCTGTCCACGTTTGCGGATCTTCTGTATGACGGGAAGGAGTAGTTCGTCTACTTTCGTGGCCGGCCAACCAAGTTCCGCGTAGATGAAACTGAAGGAAATGAGAATGGAACGAGGCATCGTGTGTGCACGTACTGTCGGAGAGCATCCAAGTCTGGCAAACCCCATTTAAACGGCTCGTCCGATTCATCGACAGTAGGATGGTAATACGCATCCCTCTGTAGACCGTCAGACGAATATCCACAAAACACCACGGAATACATACGACAACAGGATTGGGCCACTCTGGAGGTATATACAAGTCCTTGAATTTCTTCTTCTGCAAAAAGATATCAATATAAACACGCTCGACCCGGGAATCACTCACGAATCTCTTCCTGAACTTGGACTTGTTGTCCTGCTCCCTATCCTTCCCAGACTGCACCTTGGTCCACCAATCCTTGAACTTGTGCAGTCCGTCCTGGCCAGGAAACTCCTCCAACAACTCCATCGCAACGACTGGCCCGACACCCGGGAGCCCGTCGACATAGTCACTCCCAAGGAGGTACGCAAGTCGAATCAACGTATCCCTATCTAAACCCAATTCACGGCTTAGATCGGAAAGCAAGAAACATTCAACGGTTTTAGATTGGTTGAACATGTTCTTGAAGACGCGTTGGCTGCCAAAGAGGAAGACGTCCGAGTCGTCCGTGATCACGCCGTTCACCAATCCTAGGTGTACGAGCTCTGCGCATTGAGCTTCGGCTTCCATCGGTGCGGTGATGTAAGGGATGCCAAAGAGACTGAGCATGGTCTATCACAAAGATCAGCTCTTGCCTTGAGCGGCAACAACGCGACGCACCATAATCTGCGAAATCATCTGCTGGTTAATATCACCCTCGTCCCTCATCGCAGCCTTCTTCTGCTCGTTCAACACCTTGATCTCAGCATCAATCTCCCTTTGCACATCACTCAAATCCTTTCCCTTGACTTGCGACATGAATCGCGCGAATTCGCCCTCTTCCGCGGCGGGATCCATTTCTTGGGCGGCGTCCCAGTCTTCTGGGATCGGGGAAGCTTTGCGGGGTTGGTTCTCCTGCCCGAGGAGGGGAGAGGGGGAGCGTGACCAGTCGATGAGAAGTGTGCCTGGTTCCTCGTCCTCTAAGTTAGCATCCTCGATGACAAGGTCTTCGGGTTGGAGGAGATTTGGTGAGTCTTCGACATGCGTAGAGTCGTCAACTGGAATCGGCAAGTCGGTAGCAGGAGTAAACGACGGCGGGGTTTGGATATCAGTCCAAATCTCTGCCGTCACTTCGGCGAACTGGGAAGGTTCGGGCGGCATTTCCTCCTCCATCATATCGGGCTGCAAAGGAGAAAAGGACCTCCGAGAAATTGGAGAAGGCTCCCGAACCGGCACGACTTCCTCCATCTCTTCGTCGGAACCATCTCCAGCGTCATCCTGAATCGCAGAAGCCGAAGACCCAGGGTCCGACTGCAGCAAAACAGGTTTCCCAAATGAAAGTCCTCCGACCTCTGGAACCCGATCCAACGGAGTATCAGATGCAACAAGCGTCAAATCTCGTTTTGGCGGCGTCTCCTGGTGCAACAAAACCGGTTCCCCAAACAAAGAAAACGAAGGTTTCACAGGTGAACTTGAGTGACCTTTAGCTGGCGGTTTAGTTGGTGTCCTCCCAACCACACCACCGATCGAAAGGGCAGTCTCCAATCTATTCCCATGCAAAAACACATCATCGTCATGCAGAGAATGTCGAGTGACAGAATCAGACGATTTCCGTGGTGTAGAATCAACCAGTTTGGAAGACGAGGCGACGGCGTTGACGAGTGGCGGTCGGTGCACTCGCACAGTAGAGGCATTAGCCTGGTCGATAGACTCTTGAATGGCCAATGCGAGCTCGGCATCTTCATCGTCGTCTATTGGAATCATCGCGTCCTCGTCATCCAACTCGAAAAGTGGGCGGGTGGGTGGAGCAGCACTCTTTGTCCGTTGGGGTAACGGCGGCTTCTTGGCTGCATGTCTGCTGGCGATGGCCGCAAGATTCATAGACCTCTGATATTCCTGCAAGTCTGCGTCGGGTGCACCAGCTGAAGGTCTAGAAATTTGATCAGTCAAAGCTTCGCGTATTTGACCGCCATGCTCACATGGCAACCTCCTCCATTTCTTCATCGCTGTCATCGTCCGGCACAACAACAGCCTTCTTCTCATCCTGGTCAATCTCAATGGGCTTCTCCTTCGTTCCATCATCCCGAATACCAAGAATCCACCCGCCGTCATGCCCCTCGTTCTTGATCAAGACATACTCCCTGTTCCGCTCACTGGCAACGCGAACCGGAATCGTAATGTTGGCCTTTCCGATACTGTCCGTCGTCATCAACAACTGCTGCGTTAGGGTATTCCGCTGCCTCAGATTCTGAATCTGCTGCTTCGAAAAGTCCAACGGCGTACGCGCGCTTTTAAGCATATTTTGCAGCCGCGCGTAGGAGGTTTGCCGGGACTTGAGGCGCAGGTCGCCGACAATTTCGTATTGCACTTCCGTGGGAAGCTCGCGGAATGCGGGAGAGGTGATGTCGAAATCCTCCGGACGCATGTCCTCGATGAATTCACGCAGCTCGTCTTCAGTTGCGAGACGTGGGTCAGGGACGGGGGCGCGTGTAGCCGAGTTGATCGCTGCCTCGAGGTCGAGGTCTGGGAGACGGTAGGGGTCGTGGTCGTGAAACTTGGGTTTACTCGGGGAGACGGTAGTGGGTTGGGTATCTGGTTGTTTTCGGACGGCAGGCGTCATGGGGGTCGACCCTTGGATATCTTCGAGATATACGGTATTGTCGTCGAGTACAGGTGGGCCGGCAGGCGCCTTTCCCTTTCCCTTGACGGGTTTCTGCGCTCCGTTCACGGCTGCTCGTCTAAGCTGAGCGGCAAGGAGCTTTTCAGCTAGTTTCGCATGACTGCTAGCCGCCCCGCTCTTCTTCTTCCTCCGATCGTTCAGAGTATTCCTCTTCAAGGCCGGAGCGCCACCGTCGAAGACAAAGACTGGTTTGATTCCATAGAACAAGAGTTTCGCGATTCGACGAAGAAATCCAAGGACGTGAGCGTTCGACAGCGCGCGGCCGTCATTGTCGCGCATAGTAGCCTGGCCAAGAGATGAAGAGCGCGCTACAGAGGGACATTGGAGCGTACCTGGAACTGGTAGATCCAAATACTTGAATCAATGGCCATAATCTGACCCTCCATCGTCTCGAGCATGACGGGTCTGCCGACGGGCGAGAGGAGCTTCCACAAACTCTTGACACCCATGGCAAAATCTGAGGAGGAGCAGGTTGTTGGCTGGTCCCATCAGTGCTCGTAATGAGCGCGTCTTGACTCGGTGTTTCGGTCTGTTGTGCTGCGTGCCGGGGCCGGCGCCATAAAAAGCTGTGCAGCAGTCACGGGTTTCTTTGGACTTTGACTCCCCCCACAAGACACCCGACGAGTCGTTACTCACCAGGGATGCAGCTGGGTTATACTGCAAGCACAGTGCCGTCGCAGTTGAACAACCGTGTCCTATACATTCGCTCGAGGAGGTGCGTCGCTGTATTCCTCCCACCCTTCCCAGCTTACCCCTCTTAGATGTCCCTTGGACGACTCGTCGTAGCTTGAATGCATGGTGGACTAGGTCTGTCTGCGACCCGCCATCTTCCCATCTCCTGCTCAATCTTTCTCAGTGATTGATCACAACGCCTCAGGCCTTCCTTCGCAGGGCTGGATGCGAATCCGGCTACCGCGTGCGTCCCCTCTTTCTTCACCCAGCCGTCTCTTTGACACCGTATCCTACAGCTCACGGGAGCTTATGATGCACTGTGACTCGTGCTCCGACATTGCTGCTCCGCGCATCGTTGCTCGTCGACTTTCGCTGCGCTGCGGCTCCGTTCGAGTGGAGACTATCTGCGTCGACTGCACCCAATAGGCACCTTCAAATCAAATAACCCAGGCCACCTTCCGCATGTATCGCTGCTTGTCAAGCTTCGTAGTAGTATACGCGCCACTTAGTACTAGTAGAAAAATCGCATTCCGTTCGTGTCTGCTACCACGAGTTCGATGTTTGACGCGCTTTCCGAGGAGGTAGGTGTTTGCCGTTGTTAGGGGCATTGTCGTATAAAAGGAGCATCGAGTGCAAATCGGCCCTTCGGACGCCTTTTGCTCCCCCCACATTGCTCTTGACTCGTCATTGCATCGCGGGTACGCGCTACATTTGGACTGCGAACAACGACTTGGCCGACCTCCATTGCTTTGCATCGGTGAATCCTTTTTCGTTCTTTCTTTCATCGCACTGACGGACACACCAGGTTCGACATTCATGATCTTTCCCGGTCGTCTATGCTCGAGGTACGCGCCCATCCTACCCCATCCAATGCCTCATTCTTACGC